CGCAAATGCTGCTGTGAGGAAATTGGCAGGATGTGGCCTGCCCACTCTGCCATCCTCCTTAGCAGAGCTGTGTGCAGCCCGTGCTGCAGTTTTCATTGGTTGGTTTCTTCATTTTGTAAATATTCCAACCTGTGGAACTGCTCACGTGAGGCCTCTGCTGCACAGGAACAGTGTGCCTCAGAGCACCCACAAGAACCTCTACAGTGCCTGTTTTTGCAGCCTTTAGTGCAATGCATGAAGGCACAATGAAAGATCCCAGCTTCTACAGAAGGAAATGGCTCCCTGTCTTCTCCTGACCAGCTATCTCTTTCTGCATGTGCTTTTTTCTTTCTCATTTAGGACCTCTTGCCCTCAGTGACTGAACTACTCTCCCTAGGATTGGCTGCTGCTTCGGTTGCACCAGGGGACTGAAACTCTACCTAGACCAGAACTTTTCAAATTTCCTAAAGTTGTGGAACACTTTCATGTCACTTCTGCTACTGCCAAGCCCCTACCCCATCCTAAAGACTGACACCAAGTGACCTGGCTCAACAGTGCTGGCTTGCCCCACTCTCAGCCCGCTCTACTACTGGCACCCCCCACTTCCCCCACCACATCTCTTTGTGGAATCCCTGATGACTTATCATGGAGCCCCAGGGCTCTGCAGAAGATTAGGTTGTCCACTTGGGGTAGACAACTGACCTAGACTAGGTTGTCCATTTAGAGTATACATGGTGATATCTACAAGGTGGCTGCCATATGTGTCTGCCCATTAGGGCTAGGGACAGACATTACACATAAACCGGTTTAAGTGATCAGAAACTTGTTTAATCCTATAACAGAATAGACGTTCAGTGCACATAAACCAGTTTGAAAATGGCTGAAACCGGTTTGAAATAAACCTGGTTGAATATAGTATCAGACTTAATTGACTTGGGTCAAACTGGTTTATGCAATGTCTGTCCCAGATCCCTTCCTGATTTACCTTAAACCAGAGTCCCCCCCCAGCATCCCAGATGCTTTGCACCCCTGGGCGGGGCTCTTTGCTCCACAGCAGGGCTGGTCCCACCCCTCTGCTCCCTGGCTGGAGCTCCGGCCAGACACATGACGAATAGCAGGGTCTACCTGGCTTTCCCCTGCCCCCCACCACTTCGCTGCTCAAGCAGGGATTTCCCCCTCTTCCTCCCACCTATCACAGCACAGACCATAGCCAGCATGTGGTATGCTAGCTAATGCTAAGAGGTGTCTGTGTAAGGCAGACAGGACAGTGTCCACTTAGGGGTTTTGGAGCTAATCAACAGGTCAGCTGATTCCTTTCTTGAAAAAAGGTGTTTAAGAAGAGCTTGAACTAATGAGAGAGGCTTTTGTTTTCTGATGGGGTGATAAATGCTGTTATCAACTCCCTGCTGGGCTGGTCAGGAGCTGTGAGTGGGGTGGGGCTCCCTAATCAGAGAGTCTTGCTGAGGCCTGGCCATGCCCCCTGCGTAGCTCAGCACTATGGGAGGGAAGGGAGGGCTGCTCTAGCACCCCCCAGCTTCTAGCCTTAGCCACTGCAGGCATGTGCCTGCATTTTCTCAATCCAGAGGGGATGCCTGTGCAGTTACAAACTGGTTCAGCCTAGCCAGGTTAGATTAATCTGAAAAGATTGAACCAATTCAGGATCAGGCTTTTTGAATGTCTGTCCCTAGCCTAGTAGATTGAGACTCAAGTGCAGCAGCTGGGAGCTGAGGCTCTGACTTGCTTCAGGCAGTGAGCTAGCAGCTTGGTCACAGAGTGCCTGTGGGTTTACAAGAAGGGAGCGCAGACATAAGGGATGGCCTGGTACGCCCCTTTATTATATAATAGCCTAGTGGTCAGGACACTTGTCGAGAAAATGTGAGACCCGAATTCTAGGGGGTTTAAATACACAGCTCTTCTTCTTTGGTCTGCCCCGCCCCTCAACTCCTCATCCCACTCCCGCCACTTCCAAGACAGTGCTTCAACCACTAGGGCAGAGGCAAAGTTAGTATGGGGGACAATCTTTTCCACCACTCCTATTGTGTGGGTCACTGTAGCTGAGAGCATGAGATTTCTAAGGGTAACAGGACAGCAAGCAAGAGGAAGCCTGATTACAGTGCAATGTGGCAAGCACCTCCGGATTCTAGTCCCAGTTCTCAATGCTGTTTATGAAGTATCTCTCTACTGCAGGTTCATTCTCAATGGCTCATCTCTTTTCCTTAAAGAGAACTCCATGACTAATCAAAGAACTGCCTCTGATGGGGAATATGCAAATCCATAAAGTGAGTAGTTGTTCCAAGTAGGTCATTAGGGCTACATCTATTGCAGTGATTCTCAATTGGGGTCATGCAAGATCCTTGTAAAGGTGCTTTGGTGCCTAGCTCCAATACAAGGAGGTAAGTGCAGTGCCCCAGAGTCCCATGGACAAGGGGCACCATGACTGCCTCCTGCCTCCTCCCTCCTGGCAACCCCTGCACCAGCCACTTTGAGCAACATGAAATGCTGTGGGCGGGCAGCCATGTGAATGCGGAGCCATGCTTTTTAGCCTGGTTGTCCCCTGTCCCTAGCATGTTCCCAGGGCTGGTAGGAGGGGCCGTGGGGGCAGGTGGTTCTGTTCCCCAATGTGTGAATCCCTGAGGAGCAGCTGTGGTAGCAGGAGCTGGGCTTGCCCCTCAGGTACAGATCTGGGGTAGGGGGATAGTCGCTCCTTCAGGCCTCATGTTTTGTTGTCCATTCTCCAACCCCATAACATCCCCAAGTGTGAAGCCTGGTACCTCATGCTTGCTGGCCAGGTGTCCTTGGCTGTTTATGTCCATTTTGACCCTGGGACTAGAGGTAAAGCAGGGTTATCCTAGGATAACTAAGGGCAGCAATTGGCCGGTTGATGCCTGGTCCCCATTGATGACCTGGACCCATGTGGAGGGAGCCCAGGTACAGCACTGGGAGCAAATGTGCATGGGGCCAGGCAGCGTCAGGGAGGAGGCGGCCTGAAAAAGTGACTGTTCTATTTTATATTATATATTAGATTAGTAATGCAATTATTAAAACATTAATTAATAGTATAATTGTAATGCTTATAGTATAACAGTCATACTATATTTCTATTAGTTACTGAAATGGGAGGGTGCTACTAAAACTTATGGAGGGGTGCCCTGAGTCTAAGAACATTGGGAACCACTGATTTATAGTCAATAGCAAAATGTAACAGACCCACAGAAGCCCTGCTGGCACTTTGAATCTTATCATCACTTGCAGCTTGCAGGGATAACTGTTAGCTAAAGCATGGGATTGTACTTAAGCATGTGCCACAAAGTCCAAGACATCCTCCCAGAGAATGAGCTGTCAAATGAGAGGCCATCATGGGACAAGGGGGTTAGTGTAACTGTGGTGCATTTGCTGGGCTGTGAGTGGCAGTGTGAAGCCTGAGCAGCCTTTGCGGGTTGTTAATCAATTTAGGGCTGCGTAGTGAGACTCCAAGAGAGGAAGGGAGAACATTATTTCCATTGATGTTAGAGAGCATGTAACCAATGAGAAGCAGGTGCAGCGAGGTTCATTTGAACTCTTTCCATAAAATGCCATCTGAGGCCATAAGTGGCCATATTGTAGTACTCAGTTGCAGTGCCACTGGGAGGCTCCCTCTGTGTGGGAACCCGCTGTGTGCCCTGCTACGTAAGGCTGTGTCGGCATTTGTGTGATACTGAGCACTGCATTTGTGGGATACTGAGCACTGCATTGTGGTGATGGCAGGTCACTGAGGCTGCCAAGAGCTGTGTGCCCCACAAGTGGTCTTGTTCTGTGTCACTGATGCTGTGCCACCAGCTTCCTGCAGAGCTTCCTGGTGGGGGCTGAGAGAATGGCTAGAGTGTCCTTTACTAAAGGGTTTGCTGAACTGGTCAGATGCAACAGTGACAATGCCACTACAGCTACCGTACCTCTGCAACTGAATGTCACCATAGTCACCACTTATTCAAGACCCACTGATGAAACATCTAAGCTACCAGACCCAGCTGACTGGTGTGGGCACATACCCGCCACTGACTCAAAAGGCACCAGTCACACATGATATCAAGGACTATAAATGCAGGGAATTAGAGTTAAAACAAGCTGTCCTCATTTGCTTCTATGAAGTTTTCAATCCCTAAAGTAGTGTGGCTGAGAGCCATAAAATGACTCAGATGCTTGTGCCCCACATTCCTGCCTTTGGAAGTGCCTAAATCTGAAATTTAGTTCTGCAAACTCCCCAATCAGCTGTTGTTTATCTTCAGAAATACCTGAACTCCACAGGTACCTCAGTTTTCCTCAATAAAGTCTCTTCGGGTGTGTGTAGATGAAATGAGGGACATGTCTGCAGGACACTTTAAAAGGGGTTAAATGCTTTTGCACCACTTTAATGGCGCTGGTGTTCGTACGTGTTGGTGGCATATTGCGCATTAATTGCAGCCACTGTAGCACATTAGGCAGTGTAATGCACCTTAAATGACTTTGCAGTGCAGCAGACTAAAACACCTCCAAGGAGTTTTAGTTTGCTGCCCTATAGTTGTGGAGCAAAGTGCTGGGCTCTGTGCGGCTCAGGGGCTATGCAGGCAGCCTGGCAGCAGCCTGGGAAGGCAGGCTCCACCAAAGAAAAATTTAAAAAAGCGGGGAACCTGATCTTTTTTTTTTGGTTTTTCCCCTGGAGTCTGCCTGCCTGAGCTGCGTGGGGACCCAGTGCTTCCCTCTGCAGCTGCAGTGCTCCCCGGGAGCGGGACCACCGCTGCCGCGGAGGAAAGCACTAACCTCCTCCCCCTGCAGCCTAGGGACTGCTCTGCCCGCCAGCAGCTGCCCCTCCCCGCTGCTGGAGAGGCAGGTAAGACACGGGTGTACCCAACACAGGGGTTTACTTCACCCTAAATTGAGGCAGTGTTTTTAAAAATTCACCGCTTCAATTTAGGGTGAAGTAAACCCCCATTTCATCTACAGATGTCCTTCAGGACCTAAATGTCTGCTTCTGGGCATGCCCAGAATTCCCCCAGTCTTGACACTGCTAAGCAGCTTGACAACTAGCTCCCACTAAGGTGTGTCAGGGTCCACATGTGAGGCATTCCTATAGTGGCTTTACTGAAAGGTATGAGCTGACAGGTGGTCTCAAAAGCACAGCAACCTGAACAGGTTATACATGAATACTCTCTCATTAGCCCAACAGCTACTTAATTAGTCCAACTACCACAGAAGGCAGTTAAAGATCTCTCATCTAAGAATGCCCACAGCCTAGTGACCAGCCCATGCATCTAGAAGGTGAGAGCTGTAGGATCAGATCCCCTCAGACAAGGGCAGCAGGGTCAGGATTGTGAATCCCCATCTGAGATTTGTGCAGCTCAGAGTAAGGAGCCTCAGGCCTGGAGTAGGGGATTGGCACCTCTCTTGGTACTGAGGTTTCCACTAGGTGACAAGATACCAAAAAGCATAGCATTCCAACACTGAGCGTTGTGTGATGCTTAACTCCTTCTGTGTGGCCAGTCCTGGGTGGACTCAAGATTGTCTCCAACTTACCAGCACACTGTAGTTTTGTAGCGACCAGGGGAAACCAGCATCCACCCTGGAAGGAGCCATTAATACCCACAAGACTGATTGTAGCCACCATCACACACCTGATACCTGTGATATAAAAGACCACACAGTCAGAAACAGCGGGGTGGGGGGGAATCCTTTCATTAACAATGGGATCTGGTTTGGGGAGTCAAGAATAATAAAGAGCTTGTTGCCATGGAAGGGACTGTGACACTCTTCAGTGCAAACAGACATAACATTTTAATGTTTCCAAGTACAATGGGATTGGAACAACTTCAAAACTGGAGGGTTGCAGCTGCAGTCGCACATACAGTTCCCCCATCACAAATCCTGACTGCAGTGCTTCCAAACTGCCACAGCTGCCTACAGTTGTGCACTCTCCAGCCAGGGGTGCAACAGGGGGTTGCAGCTACCTGCAGCTCCATTCCCTTGATGTGGGGGGAGCAGAGCAGCCAGCCAGTGCGTCTGTACAGCCTCCATCCGTGGCTCTGTTCCCCACCACCCCCATGGATCGGGGGAAGTGGAGCCAATGTCAGTGAGTACTCTCCTGTTTGCTCTGCCTTTGCTTTCCTGGGGCGCCCCCACCTTCACTGGAACTGGGAGCCCTGATGTGGAGAGGTACATGGGGATTGGGGACCGGAGAGCAGGAATCCGGTTTCTGGTGGGAGGGCATGGAGGTTGTTCCTGGTTCTGGTAGTGGGTGTGAGGTCTCCCATCTCTGGTGGCATCTGGGAAAGAGAGTGGCCTGAGTGCTGGGGCATGCCTACAGCAACCAGAGTGCTGGGAACCTGCAGGGGAGCAGCAGCAGCTTGGGTAGGGGTGGGCAATTATTAGGGCCCGGGGGCCATATAGGTAGTTTTGGTGAGCTGTTCTGGGCTTGGCAGCACCCCCACAACAACTCACCAAAACTCCCTAAGTGGCTCTTCTCTGTGCTCAGTTAGGCAGGCAGGGAGTGGTTGGGTTGGGGCCATGGGCAGGCAGGCAGAGAGTGGCATCCAGAACCAGGATGGGTGGGCAGGGCTGGGATCATGGAGTAGTGACAGCGCAGGGCTGGAGCCCAGGGCAGAGCTGTGATCTGTTGCTTGCATGCCCCTGTGATGGGCACCTGTTTTGGGGCAGGGGTGTGCAAGTAGAAGACTGCAAGTCTGCCCCAGGCCCTAGCCCGGCCCTGCACTGTCACTGCCCCACTATCCCACCCTGGGATCCTGGCTCGCCTGCCCGTCCTGCTTCCATGCTCCCAGCTCCCCCACAGCCCCATCCCCT